GACGCGATGGGTGGTACAACGGTCCAGTAGTATACCAGCAGACTTCTGACAATAGATTCCAAGGAACTTCTCCGGAAGGATCGACTGGTTCCGAAGGTGCAGCGCCTATAACTCCACAAAGTGCCACCGCGACAGATTATAACCCTGCCGTTGTACGCTCCAATGGATACCACGAGGAACCTTCTCGAACCATTCCTCAACCACCAGCTGTTCACCACTACCACACACTCTCAAATGGCAATGAACATTCTTATACACATAAACCCCCTACGTCAACTCAAACTATGTATCCGCAAGTCCCTCAATCATCTACGCAACATTATCGCACTGAAGGATTGGACGCTCTGGCAGCAGCCGCAACAAGTGGTCAGATCAGTGTACACAATAATGCATTTTGAAGGATTGATTTCGTTGGTGCATACCTTTTGTGTAAATATTACACCTCGAGTCAATTTCTTTTAACGATACCCGACTAACATTCTATTTGTAAGAATGTCACGAATTCATGAAACAAGACAGATTCACTTTATTATCACGATTTTTCCCTTTATTTTTCTGCGACTATTGGGAAAGGGACATTTTGATTTACCAGCGTTGGTGTTTAGGTTTTTGGCATTATCAACTCTTTTTTCTATTATTCTCTCTCAAGCTTTATCGACTTCTTCACGCCATTCGATGTTGTGGTATATACAGATCTCATGTACCGCGGCTAGTACCCGTGATTGTGTCTAGTGTTTTCATCGTCACATTCGATATCGTCGACCACTGATTACACAGTGCATTGATGTCCTATACGAAAATTCGATTGTCTTCAATGACTTGGAGGAAGCTTGAGCCCGAGGTTTTGACCAATTTCCTTTGTACTTAGGTCTGATTTTTGGGTAGCGTTTGGGTGGGATTACTTTGGATTTTTTTTATCATGATTTAGCGTACTTGGGAGGTTTCAATTGTTATTTCTAGCGTCAGGACAAGGCGGTACTGTACTCGGGATTTTCTAATGGGCGGCATGCTTGGCTATGACTTGGCTATGAGATTTGCAATATTGATACCTCTATACCCAAATGCTATTCAAACATTTTCTCAAGGCTTTTTCGACAATTTTTCTTTAGAGATTACGGTTCTAGATATGTGTGTATGCTTCTAAATTTTCATGGGTGGCAGATATAATACTTGGGTCTTGGGGGATGTTACGAGGAAGAGGAAGGTGAAATGATGTATGTCATGGGGGTTTGGGATGGGTTGAACGAGTTGGCTGGCGGGCGTCTGGCTAGTCTGTTTTGTATGCGTGCATCTTTCTTTTGCGGTGGTGGTACATCCTTGCTTGCATTTTCGTCTCTAGGGAAGGGGGTCTTTTTAGTATGGTATGTATGGCCTCGAGAGTTGAGAATATAGGGTTTGATCTTGGAATCTTTTGATGTTTTGATCCGTGGAGCTGGGAAATGAGGTTGGGTGGCCGGGCCGGGTGGTTTGTGGATTGGTTGGCGGGCTGGATGTTAGATGGGTGAAGGGTTGTGTGTAGGTACTTATGCATGTAGGGTAGTTGGTTGAGTGGTGTGGGCTGGGCTGGGCTGGGCTGGAAGGGGTGGGGCTGGGTGGGTTGTGGATGGATGGATGGATGGATGGGTGGAGGGATGGAGTGGTGAATGGATGGATGGATGGATGATTGGACGAGGGGATAGAAGAGTGAGATATTTCTGGGGAGTAGGGGACGGATATGGGGACGGAGATGGGGGTGCGTGGTAGCTTCGTTTAGCTTGGTTTTATTTAACTTGACTTCGCTTGACTTGACTTGACTGATCTTGACTTGGGCATTATATCATCATTATCTTTATATTCGTGTTTTGTGTTTATGTATTTATGTATGGGTGTAGGGGTGTAGGGTTGATAGGTTTGATTAGTAGGTAGGTAGGTAGGTAGGTAGGTAGGTAGGTATGGTTTACGGATGAGGTTTATGAGTATTCTTTAGCTTTGATATTTATGAATTATGGATGTGAGTTTTGGTTAGGGTTAGGGATGTGGTTTATGGATGTGGTTTATGGATGTGGTTTATGGATGTGGTTTATGGATGTGGTTTATGGATGTGGTTTATGAATTATGAATTATATATTACGAATTGTGAATGATGGAATTGTGATTTATGATTTGTGCTTTTAGGTATGTATGTATATCTAGTATATGTACATCCCAACCTCGCTGTTTTCACTTTTCGGGTTTTTTGCTTTTGCGGGTTTTGCTTTTTTTTGGTTTGAGGGGGAGAGGGGTGGGAGATGGGGATGGGAGATGAGGGGAGAAGAGGCTATGGCGTGGAAGTTTGGAGTAGATGGATGGATTAGATAGAAACTTGGGGGGGGGGGGGGGTATCTGGGTAAGTAGGAGAGAGGGAGGTAGGGAGGTAGATGTCTATTAGGGGATGTGAGATGGAGATTGATAGAGGGGAAATGAAGGGGAAATGGGGATTGGGATAGAGAGAGAGATACTGGGGTTGGATGAGATCGGATGGGATATGATGGGATATGATGGGATGGGATGGGATGGGATGAGAGCTGCTGAGATCATACTATGGGAAGGGAATGCGGATAGTGTGTGTGCGTGTATGGTGAGTCTGTTAATTGATGGGGAGCGATTCCGGACATAGGTTGGTAGGTGTTACTACACCATTACTATGCCATTACTATGCGAACAGATGGGCGGGCTAGCTAGAGCATGAGCCTTGAGTTGCACAAGCTCATTTTCTTAATTTCTCGTTTCCTTGATTTAAGATGCAAAGATTATAGATCTAAGTTACGGAAAGGAAAGTACGAGGATATACGCGGAGATGGGAGGATTTAGAACAGTGGATGGATGCTTGCGAGAGGATATGTTTCAGATTTGTATGTGTGAGGGGTACGTGGGTTTGGATTTGGGGTTGGGTTTTGGAAGAGTGGGTTTGATTGGTGGGGTGTGAGGGGCATGAGGGGAGGGTGGAGAGTGGGAGGGAGAGTGAGTGTGAGTGTGAGTGTGGAGAGGGTGAAGGTGTGAGGGCGCGGGGAGAGTTGGAATGATTAACTTGGTGAGGGTTTGGTGTGTGTGTGTGTGTGTCTGTGTGAGGGGTGTGAGAGAGTATACGGGAGGTTTGTGTTTGGGGTTGAGGGGGAGGAGGAGGAGAAGGAAGTCAGAAAGCAAGCAGATAAGTACGAAACAAATGGGCAAAGAGATGAAGTGATATGGGAAATAGGAAATAGCAAATAGAAAAGAAGGGTTAAAAAGGGGAGGGCTAAATTTGGAGATTCGGAATTAGGCATAAATGAAGCGCGAAGCATCTAGCCTTACTGTATGATGAGATAAATAGGTAGGTGGAAGAATGCAGGCAGAATCGTTTTCGTACATCTCCATTTCCTCGACATCTACGTATGGAGACCACAGAGACATAAAGATGGGAACCATGTATGAAACTTTTGGGATGGAGATCCATAATGAGATACCCACTGGTGACCTAGATGGATGGATAGGAATGCAATGGGCTTTTTGCATCAATGGAGTCTCGATCGAATCTTATAAGCTTATTTATGATCATCGTTCGGGTCAACGGCGGAGTTACATATCTAGTTACAGTACAGATAGATAGATACTTGGAAAACTGGATAGTGGGAATGTATTCTTCGATGTGTATGCTAGAATTCCGGGTCCAAGTTTCTTTATCTTGATATGCATGCGATGTATGATATTCATACGCATGAAAACGGGGCTGCGGGAAAGCTAACATGTAATAGGACAAGATTCAACCTAAAGGATTCCGCCCCAGATACGAACAGCAGAGTTCAGGTGAGGGAAAAGAGAAAGAGAGGTGGATTGGATGGGGTGAGATCGGAGTCGGGATGTGTATCTGTGCTTTATGCAGAGAAGTGGAGATGGGAATGAGCTGAGTGGTTTGGTTTGTTTATATGGATTTGGGAGGATGGAAGGGAAAGGAGGGGTAAGTGGGTATGTGGGTATGATGGATGGTGGCGATCTTTTCTTCCTTGGGGGATTGGGGATTTGAAGGGTTAGGTGCGAGAGGGTGTGAAAGGAAGTTGGATGGTTGGCTGGTTGGTTGGATGGTTGAATACACTTCGTTATGATACGATGTATGATGAGAAACTGGGAATTCATCTAGTCGAAACTTGATGTTAATATATCCATCTATGATGGATTGGAGTGGGAGAATAGTTTTGATACGAGATGATGTGGATATTTGCGACGCTGTCTATAGACTTATTTTTGTGTGTGATGTGTTATCATTGGTTTAGCGATGGATTTGGAATTCGTGAACAGAGTGGTATGTATGTATGTATGAATGCTTGGGTGCATTGGGACCACGAGATGAGAGCGTGCTGGGGCGAGGTTGTATTTTGGCGTGAGTTTGCATATGGGTATGGGTATGGTGCATGATGGCTGTGGTCAGCAGGAGAATTCTCTTGGTGTTGATAGAGTGATGGGAGAGGGTGTTGAGAGAGTTGACTGCATCGAAGTTGGATATTCTAGTTTCAAATAGTGGTGGGGGAATGTGTCTTCAGACTGGAATTTGAGTCAGATGGATAAGAGCGTTGGGATTTCTTACTGAGGAGCTTGGGATGGAGGGAGAGTGATGCTAGGGTGTATGTTGTTGTCTTTATATCAGACGACGGTTGATGATTTCGTGGACTGGTAGGTGAGAATTGATGAAGAGGGGTAATGCCATTGTACTGTAGTATCTCAAAGGGGTAGGGTGATCTGAATCATCTTAATGTTTGTTACAGATTGGAACAATCAGGGTTGATTAGTTATTAGATTATCGTTTCAATAACCCAATATCATGATAAACAAGTAGAAGAATGCAATACCTACCTACCTGGGTACTTAGCTAAGGATGATAGGAACTACTCTCAAAACCACAACATCTCGTTCACGATATTACTTAAGTAAATGCTAAGTTCAACTCAACATAAACCAGACTCTGCTATGAAGTAATTGATCTCTCAAATATCTCAAGCCAACTTCCAGTATCATCTCAACTCTTCTTTCTCTTCAATCTCACTTTCCTTTCCTTTGATATCACTTCCCTCAGTATTCGCGAAAGCCTTTTCACTATTGCCCATCCAATCAGACTTCCACTCCGCGTGCCATTCCACTTTCTTACCATCGTTCCTGGTTTTGAAGATGTCTGAGAATGTGGGTGTGATGGAGTCGGCGTTTTGGAGCTGAGATGAAGAAGGATTGTTTCTCCAGTTTTTTAATGGGCGTGGGATTGTTTTGTGAGATGTGTGGACTTTGAGGCTGGATTGCGTATCATCGTCCTCGTTCTCATTCCCATCATCTTCGTTTCCGTCGTCTCCATTCTTGTCTCCATCACTTCCATCATTCCCATCGTTGTCATCACCTCCTTCATATCCATCCCAATATCTCGCTTCACCCCACCACTTACACCTCTCTCTCGTCCCTACATCAACCCACAAATCCTCTTCTACTCTCACTTCTCCTTCCGGTACAATCATACTTCCATTTTCTTTCGATCCAAGAATTACAATCCCATCTTTATAAACTGGAAACTCTGGTCCAATCAACCCGCGATTCGGATCTCCTTCTTTCACAAACCCAACAATATAGGCCTGAAGTGTTTGTGCAACGATTTCGGTAGATGGAAGGACCTTTCCCGTGTTGTATATATCTGCTGGATCAGAAGGCGGTTTTTGATAGAACTGTTTATACAGTTAGAATGTTTGAAATGGAAACGTAGAATATCAAGAGAGGATTCACTAACCGAAAACCCAACATCCTGTCCATGAACACCCGGTTCTACTCCAAAAACATACTTATAACTCCCCTCAGCTCCAAAAGCATCAAGCAAATACACCGCATTACAAATCGTGCTCAGTTCCGCTGTTGCATTTGCACCCCTGAGCAATTTATCCAGAACTCCTGCATTTTCGTCGTCCAAAGGATACAGATCCTTAACAATGTACTCTAAATCTTCATCTTTTAATCCTGGTAAACTATTCCGTATGAATGTCGCAAATGTATCATCATTTTCCACAGCTTTGATGTCTGTAAATAACAGTCCCTCAAGTGAATTATGAGCAACCATTATCCCATCAATGTCATCCCAGAAATCTCCATCTCTCAATAGAACGGAAACAGGCTTTGGGATAAAAATAGTGTCTAGAGTAGGTCCGAAAGTAAATTGTGCATATGGCGATTTCGAAACCAAAAGCTTATTGGCAGAAATCAATACTTCCTCAGGCTTGTTCTTCAATTCTTCAAAAGTATCTGCTCTAGCTACGAATAAAAAGTCGTCAAAAGCCTCGAGCTCGGTATCAGCATCGGCTGCGGGAAAAAAGGCTGGGGATTGTAGAATAGCTCGTTGAAAAGGTGCACGTGGTAAGGAATCTGGGTTTAATGAGGACGACGAGCCGCCATAAGATGTAATGTGGTGCAGGATAGATGATGCGCCGGCAGATTCTCCGATGACGGTCACACGGTCGGGGTCACCCCCAAATTTGGATATGTGTTGGGAAACCCAGTTTAAGGCGAGAGCTTGGTCGTAGAGACCAGCGTTTGGGGTTGGGTGAGGGTCGGTCGAGTTGTCAGGGGTGGAGAGGAAACCGAAGGCGCCGAGACGGTAGTTTAGGGTTACCTTGAGTTAAATGTTAGTTGTGAGCAAGCCCTAGGAGGACGATAGACAAACAAAAATGATGCTATCGTGGATAGCTACGCTTTCTGATGTGAAGGTAGAAGCATTGAGAAAACCATATGGACTACCATCTTGATTCTTATGTCCGAACGTAAAACCCCCTCCGTGTATCCAAACCATTACTGGTACTATTGTTTTGTAAGTCTCTCTATTCAGCGATATCATACGGTGATAGTACTTACAAGGAACAAAATCATCATCTTCCTCCACCGCTTCAGCTACTCCCTCTGGTACAACCACATCCAACAACAAACAATCCTCGCTTTCCCAACCATTAGGAACGTCTTCAAATGGATTTGGTTTCAAGTGACTTGGATCTATATTATTAATAAGTCCCAAAGTATACAACGCAACTAGTAGACCAGCATCCTCTGTCCAATCTGGACGAGCTTGTGGACATATATGTCCGATGGAACCATCATTAATATGCGAAGAAGTACTATTTATAGGAAGAGGTTTTGAAAACCGAAGATCTTGGAGAGGTGGAATAGCGTAGGGAATATTGCTGAAGTTATTATAGTGGCCGGTGGACTAGATGGGGATTTGGTTAGTAAGAGTATGGGAATAGGTAGGGTGTCTGATAGTCCAAACTGAAATCCAACAATGAAGATTATCAAATCTCTAAGGCAATTGGAACATTGAGATATTTTCAGATATCCAACTGCTTTTAGATATTCAAAACCTTACATTGTTGAACTGCAGTCCAAAATATCGGATACTCTGGTCTGAATGGGAATGAATAAGGGGTACTGACATTGAAGATGGCTTGATGACGCTCGTAACCGAGATCGACTATTGGTCCAGGAATTGATGTGTTTTTGGGATGAGGTCTTGGAAAAGTTGGAGGGGGGCGTAGGGAAGGTCGAGATGGTTGGAAGGGACGGCCATGATGACCTCCCTCAGATGCTTCAACTGAAGTAATGATGAATGCAAAGATGTTCAAGAGCTTCATCTTGAGACGGAAATAGCAATACTTGGAGAAAGAAATCAAAAAGGAAATGGGGTGTAGGCTTTCTTGTATCTGAATGTTTCGTTCACTGTCTCATTCATGTGATGTGTCTGAGCTCAGCTTAGAATTAAAAATCGCATTGTAATTGCGATGCAACGCCGGATAGCATATGTGAAGTTGTGAAGTCGTACTAGGACTTGTGTCATAGATTTTGTCTCAAACACAATAACTCCCATGTCGTACTTTCACTATCGCCTTCATCCATAGGCCTAATCTTTGTCCAGATTCGAACACCGTATCTGGAGGTAGGTTATTGATCTTTCCAATCCTTTCAGTTTCGAGAACCTTAAAAATGACGAAAGCAGAGTGCAGTCAGAGTACATAAGAAGCACTCAGTCTGTGTTGGATGAAGATCAGTTGTAGTACAACATTGGGACGAAGCAAGACATGTGCTCATTGTCCCATAAAACTCCAGATATTAGAGTCAAGTCTCGCTTTCTAGTACCACGAGACTGAAATGCCAAGTAATTGAAGTACTTTGAAAGCGGGATAACACTAAAGTTGCTCCTAAGACATTGAACTGTGAGTCTGGCAGATTTTCAAAGTATTATGACGTATAAGTGAGATGGGAATTTCAGATTGGGAAACGAAAAGGGCCAATTTATCCGTAGGTTGAGACAATAATACTTATTGCGTAGCTTGAGCTAATCCAGTTGTTCTTTTGGATCAGGGTGTGTAATTGTCCGGATTTCAATTCAACAATGAAGATTATCAAATCTCCAAACCAATTCGAATAATCAAATCATTTGTGAGACTAAATCTGGTTGAACATTGAACTATTTGCAGATTTCTGATTGCTTTTAGATATTTGAAACCTTATATCATTGAATCACAGTCTGGACTATGGGAAAGCGTTTGCCTATGAAGAAGGCAAGTCCAAGTTGATGATCCAGGGAGCATTGGTAGGCTGATGTTCTCCATCCAGAATCGCCGCATTAACCATCAGAGTTTCTTTGCCAGACTCAATATGCAAATCCATAGCCTGCGGATACTTGTTGACCAGGTCATCCTCTCTCTTCATCTCATCTTCCTATGCGATTTTGTTGGCGCTATACCCCTCATGGATATGGCCGAAGCAATTCATCAAAGACTTCGCACATTGGATTGCGCGAAAGGTATTCTCGCAGCCCAAGTTCTCGTCACGAAAGCCCTTTGGTGGTCCGTGGGTCATAACAATACCTATCCACATCAGCTGGGATAGGATTTTCAGCAATGGAAGTTACGCCCTCTGCAGTTTCCCCAGATGCATTGAATCGATCTTCGTTACGTTTGTAAGGAGAGGTGTAATCGTTAAACTCGTGTTGGTATGGCGAAGCATATATCTTAAATGTTGCACCACTTTTAAGATTGAAAGTGTGCGTTCCTTCCTCCAAATAAGTAACAACCGGTTCTTTCGCTAATTCCCCCTTCATTACCTCCATGGCCCGTGCATGGTCGTCAAGATAGTCCTCGTCTTCCTCGAGGTGTGCTTTGCACCATCCTTCATCAAGCTCCAAATCATGATTTCCTGTAATAACCAGTCTAAGCTCTGCTTCAAAGTTGCTGGGCATTTCGAGTGCTTTTTTGAAGGCAGGAACACCTCCAACTTGTGTTAAATCTCCATAGTGGAGAAGAACATCGACTTTTGGGACAGGAAGCTACAATTTGCTCGAGGCGTTGTCGCCAAATTTGTAATCGTGTGTGTCAGAAAACACGATAAAACTTGTTGCTTGAGTTCTTGTCATATTTACCATTGTAATATAATTGTTAATAGTGTAGTCTAATTAAAATATGAGAATTATTCCAAATGATAAATTCGTGGATTCGAAGTGATAATAGTCGGCTCTTCCAAGCGGCCTCCTAGTTCCTAGTCGGGGAAAGCGGTTGTCCCTAAAAAACTTCGAAAATACTATAATAATTGAATTATATCAATCACAACCTTTATAAATTATATAACTATTAATAAAATATTAATTTTTATTATTCATTTCCTACATCTATTATAATAAATAAAATTAAAGCTAAATATAGTAAATAATATTATTAAATTTAAAGAAATTATAATCATATAATAATATCAAATCTATCCATCATTTATTATTCTTTTTTTATAAAATACCTACCAAAATTTTTGGGGACAACCGCTTTCCCCGACTAGGAACTAGGAGGCCGCTTGGAAGAGCCGACTATTAATATAGATTCATCCTCGTATATCTGTGCATGGAGCTAGAGTAGGTGACGTTGAGCACGTGATCAGACATCACTCACTAACGTATCCTGGCTATTTGGATTGATAATTTTTACTAGACAGGCTTAATGTTTGTAAGTTTTTCTTCCCAGAAACAGAGATAACTTTTCCTCAACACGATGCACATTATCATAGTTCTCACAGCAATTCAACTCTAAAAACTCAATACTATTGCACAGCATCAAACTTCCAATTCAGTTCACTCCACTTCATTACAGAATCTCCGTCCCATCCTGTCCATCATCCTTATGATTATCAAACCACCTAAATATCTCCTTCGCCTCATGCGTCATATGTCTAACCGGCTCATCCACCGGTCTCCTCAACGCCCCAAACTTCTCCAACGGCACCGCAATCTCATCATGATACTCTAGTATCGCTTCAAAGTCCCTACACTTATGATTGATATTAAAATCCGGCACTGCATTTTCCTGCATATCCACCCAATAATGTCCATACGTATCCACATTTCCCTGGCACATCAGATTCTGCAGCAGGGCATACACACAATGCGAAGCGTGGAGTTGATGGTACTTCCCCATCTGTTCGTTAGGGTAATAGTATTCTACGTTCCAGTAGAGATGCATGCGTAGCCGGTTGAGACAGTGGATTTGATGGAAGACGTCGATGCGTCCGATGAAGGCATCGCGGCCGAACCCGAAGGATTCGGGAAATTTTGCATACAAATCTGGGTTTTTGCCTTGATTTATGAGGTCTTCTCGGGATATGGGAACGGGATCTTGAGTCTCGATACGAGCCCATGCTGCGTCGACTTCTGGGGATGGAGGTTTCCGATAGATGGATTCGTTTTCGCGTTCTAGGAAGGTGCCGTTGAGTCGCCAGGTTGAAAGGGGAATGTCGATTGCGTCTAGAATTGGAGCTATGATTTTTTTCATGAGATGAGTTTCGGTGTTGGAAGATTTTTAGATCTTACATTTTTCGGAGACTTGCTTCAACGCCCAATTTCGCTCTTTTCCACCGGGAACTTGCTTCCAATTAAGCATAGCCGCTGTGAATAAGTACAAAGACAGACAAAAGAAAAGACCATTTAGCCAACCCAGACACCTCACAAACGAATGATGCTTATGGCAGGTATCATTCTCTTCCTTTTCAGTATGTTCGAATGACTCATCGCCGACAGAAAAGCGGTTAAGAAGTCGATCTTCATCTTGATATTCGTTATCCGAATTTACATGAGAGGGATCCAATTCTGCATATGTGAATGGCTTATTGTGCTTGAATATTTGTAATATGCGTTGATTAAAACCCATTTTGAAGTGGAGGGGTTGGAAATGGGAGAAGAGAGAAGTATAATGCGGAGAGAAAAAGCAAATGATAGATTAGTTGTTTTCAAACGGAATGGGAGATGGTATATTGTAAGTTATACAGCTAATGGGTATGATATAGCATCATAAATCAGGACTCGTGTTGCTTGCACTTCGGACCACCAGCAAGTGTGTGGATTGACAAATCACCTCCCAATTTTCGATATTTTTAGCAAATTCATTTTTTAATTGTCTAATGTTAGAACTCACGTCTTGATTATTCTATTTCGAATCAAGAATTATAAACAATTCTAGAAATAAACGATTTGATGTATTAAGAAATATTCATCAATCTATTTTTGCAGCATTTCATCAGTCCGTACACCCATTAGTACTCCCTCACAATCAACACTCAACCCCCAACATTCGATTATCTCAACACGTTACACATACCCGTCATAACTTCCTCCCCATATTCTCTCTAGATAAGAGAAAACCACCCTCTTCTCTTTCAGCCAAGAAGAGATAAGCCACATACTGCACAGTTATCTAGATCCAACTGATTCACGAATATGCAAGCCAACTCATGTAGACAGTAACATGCACGACATCTGTAGTCTCATGATGGAAGTTTCGGCTAATTTTTCCCGCTCGCGTGGCAAACTTTGTGTTTCTCGGTTGGTGGTACAGAATACATTTTGGACTTTAGTTGGACGAGAAGAAATGCTGTGGATGTGTATCTATCGGTAGATTAAAATTTCACTCCCTGTATTGTTGATGATCTTGAAAAGTGTGGGTAAAGCTTCCGAGAACACATCTACGCGGGTTTGACGACTTGAAATATTTTGGGCCCGAACTTCACACTCGGAAGCAACCTTGATAGATCAGCAGCAGAGAGCAAACGCCAAATTATCTTTGCATCTTTATCTTAGCTAGCTGCTCGCTCGATATGAAATCACGTCGTTCGTAACTCAGAGATAGTTATCTGAGGGGCATCGCTGTTTGTATGGATCATATTTCATACAGGGACTAAACGGATGGGCCACAGATCAAAAGTATGTAAGAATACATGGCTATAGCAATACTATTGACATCATAACCGATTTAGCCTACTCTCTGTCACAAAAGCGAGAATCGAATAAACACTATCTTTACTCCTGGAAATACCAGAAACGCTTGTCGTGAAGTCTCCTGCCCAAAATACTTGAAGTCTACAACCGCTATATATTAAGAATCAATTCTAGGTACATTGAATCTCCCAACAGAAGCCCAAGTGAGATCAGCGTGTATCTCTCCTATTCGTGGTGATGAAGAGTACCTCTTCCCCCCTATTCCAACCAACCCTGCTTACTCCCCGCGTAATCCTCGCTTGCACACCCACACATTCTCCATCAATTTTCCCATCCTCCCATTTCACTCTTGCTTCTCGGTATGTAGCCCGAATCAAACCAACTCTATTCTCGCAAGTGTGTAAAGTCACTCACATATGCAGATAGATATCTAAAAATGACGTATAACCCATTACTTGCACGGATTGCTTCAGCAAACACAAACAACGACTTGGTGATAAAGAAACAATAATTTGAGGTATTTCTTTGATTTCTGCTTCGCCACAATTTTCGTCGCAGCGGAGAGTTTTGAAAAGTCTCATGATTACCTGCTTTGACATCCTTGTAGCGTTTTCGACAAAACTCGAGTTGCAGGTATACTTTGAAACGATACTGGGATCTAATTCACAATTTGTACATCTTTCTGATTTCTCGAATCGGGGTTGAGTTCGACTTCGCTTGCCGAATACATGATCCGATAGACTACACGACTCGTTGCAAATTACGTCGGTTGTGCATATGATTGTATGTTTAAGAACGTATTACACCAGTGTTCTTTGCGGGGATAATCTTATCTTGTATGAATGAACGAAAAGAATAGATCGGCGGCAAGATAACAGTTAGTTACAAAACTTCGAAGCTTGTTACTCTACGGAACAGTCTTGTGCAGCACTTTCGGATCTCCCGGTCGGCTTTGCAAGTAGATCGAAAAGACTCACGCAATTTCACTCATTTGAAAGTCAAAAAATATCTATATAAACAGTCCACAACTAGAAATTTAATCTTAATCCTCTCAACCATCTAAACCATAAATCCCTTCAACCAAACTCAACAACCCCATCACAGAAGTTCCAACACTGCACAGAAACCTCTCCAAAATGGTTCGAATGACCGCAATCTTGGCTACGGCCATTCTCAGTCTCGCATATGCTGCTCCTCTCAGCCCCGTTCAAGGTCTACTATATCCTCCCTCAAACAAAAAACATTACTGACTGACTTAAGTAGAAGAAGTCAAAGCCCGAGGTGTGTTGGATGCTACGTATGCGCAGCTGGATTGGTTCATGGCTAAACGTGATCCAGAGCTATCTTATGTGAATAGCCGCGCAGCGGAATTGAGTTATGTGGTATGTTTTGTGAAGTTGCTGTGGGGTATTTAGCTCACGGGAGTGTAGAATTCGAAGCGGCAACCGGAGTTGAGCTATGTCAATTCTAAGCGCGAGCCTGAGCTCAGCTATGTGGTTTGTTTCACAGATATGTTGTTTTAGTATCCAGCTCACACAAACATAGAATTCAAAGCGAGAACCAGAACTTAGCTATGTCAATTCTAAGCGCGAGCCTGAGCTTAGTTACGTGGTTAGTTTAGCACTCCCCATTTTCGAATAGACCCTATTGACAAGTTTTTAGAACTCCAAGCGAGAGCCTGAGTTGAGCTATGTCAATTCAAAGAGAGAGCCCGAGCTCAGCTACGTCGTATGTCCCGCACATTCCTCCTCCTTCTCCATTGATTCCTGTCCCATCTACTAACCTCCAATTCTAGAACTCCAAGCGAGAACCAGAACTTAGCTACGTCAACTCCAAACGTTCCCCAGAACTCAGCTACGTCGTACGTCCCACACTATTCTCCACACCTCCCTCCCCCTCCCCCTTCTCCTTCTCCTCCTCCTTCACCACCCCCCACTAATCCCCACCCCCCAATCCCCACCCCCCACACACTAACCTCCCCCAGAACTCCAAGCGCTCGCCCGAACTCAGCTACGTCAACAGCCGCCACACGCACCAGGAATAAAATTCCCCACCCCCACCCCCATCCCACCCCCATCTCATCTCCAGATCTCTCTCCGTCTCCGCATCAGAGATCAGATCTATCTCTTAATTACCGAGTATCATACGCCGAGAAGGGGAGAGGAGAGCAAATTCATGTATTCGCGGGCGTGAGAGCGAGAGAGAGAGACAGAAATTGACCCCACCCATCCCAATATCTCAATCCACATTTCCATTCACATCCATCAAATCAAATCAAAACACGCACACAATTAATTTCCTTCCGTGACCTAGCTTCAACTCACCACTCCCAACCGCTCTGATATACATACAAATCAAAACTGAACAAGCGACACGCACACAGCACACAGCACAGAAAAGAACAGAATATACATGCCCAACCCGCATCTTCCTTCCAGCTATTTCATTCTCGTGCACAATATGATGTGATTCCTATATTAATGTGTGTATATTTATATACTCTTCCTCTCTTGCTCCGCATTCATCGATCCATATCCACACAGCAGAAATCCCTCGATTCGATTTCCTATTCCTATTCCCACTCCCACTCCCACTACCGCCCCTTTCTAATCATCTCCCTCCCACAATCTCCCTCCCCCCATCACCCTCCCCCATCTCCCTGCCAAAATCTATCCCTCAAACCAAACCAACCCAACCCACCACCCACCCATCAACCCAAAAAATTAAATCCCAAAATTTCAAACACCTAACTAACTGCCAACTACCCGCGGCATCCATCTATTTCTGTAGTGGTGAATATACCCATATATCCTGATCTCTATCCCCGTCCCCGTCCCCATCCCCATCCCCATCCCCATCCCCATCCCCATTCCCCTTTCTTTCTCCATCTCTCCACCTCGTCTCTTCCCCTCGTCTCATCTCATCTCATCTCATTTCGCTTCGCTTCGCCTCCCTGCTATCTCATCCTGTTTATCCCATCTCATCTATTCCATCCCATCCCATCCCATAAAGAGTACAGCAAAAGAAGATACCTACCTACCTAGGTATGAAATAATAGACAAACCATACAACCAAGTACCTCCAGGGCTAGCTATAATCACGAACAGAATGTACAATTGACCAACTTTGATCAATATCTTCTCTACATCTAGAAAAATCCAACTACTCTATCATTCAAATCACATATCACACTATTCAATCATCCAAGTGTTCATTAAGCCACTTATTGCAATTCAAATGAATCTTCATTCTCATTTCTCATGCTTCCCTTCTCATCTCTTTTGAAAAACAAAAGTTGATGACTAATTACAATTGATTAAGTACCCTTTGGTGAGTTTCATGTGCTTTCTTCGTCGAAGGTTGAAGAAATTACACAAGCCCACTCTTCCATTCCTATCTTCATTACTACTTTCATGAATAACGCCTATCCTTCCCCTATAATTTAATGGACAGAAATATTTGAACGCCCAGTCTAATGCATTAAAATGATCATAACCTTACTGCCGCAACTTTGCCCCTAGTATGCGGAGATTGGCGTTCCGATAATAAAAAAATGGTGAGAAGGTAGTTTGAAGATTGATGAAAATTTTCGAAATTTCGAACAGAGATATCAAGATGATTAAGGTCTCTTTGTAAAGGTCAATGGACAATCATCCTGTAATTTGTGTTAGTAATGATCAAGAGCCATTCAATGTGAATGTGTACTAACCATAGGGAAAATTGTAGCAAAGACCTTGATCTCTTCTGATTTTGGAGTTGGATGATGAACCCAGTCAAGTTCCATCGATGCCTTTCCAATCATAAGAGCAAGGTTCATTTGGGCATATTCTTGTCCCAGACAATAATGAGCACCAGTTCCAAAGACCAAATAGTTCTTAGCACCCTTTACTTCTGCGTCACCAGAGAAATAACGTTCAGGGTCGAATTCGTCAGGTCGGTCATAGACATCAGGATCGCGTAAAGCTGGGTATGTTGTTGGCACAATCATGGCTCCTATTTCAGTGGTTAGAATTGGATTTTTGTTTTTTTATCAGCTTGACATACCTTTGGGAACAGTATAATCTGGAGTGATTGGGAATGCTTTCTTGGCAACATATGGAACCATGAGAACAGGAGGGCGCCATCTCAATAACTCTCTAACCACGGCACGAGTATATTTCATGCTTTCCATCATGTCCATGTTTGGTCTAACTCGTTTGTCACCACCACGAACGCGTAAGTTCTCCTCACGGACCTTATCTAAAACCTCAGGACGTTGGGCCATAACTTGGAATAACCAGGTGGCGGCACTGCTCGTAGCATCTTGGGAAGCGAACAAGAAGGTAAAGACGGTTTGAGCAATTTCGTAGTCGGTGAACTCACGGAGTAATGGTGTTGGCTTCGTCATTCCTTTGGTTGAGAGACCCTTTTCTTCTGCCTCGCGCCAAGCAGCGGACTCGAGTTGAGACTTGACCCATCCATCCATAATACAAGAGACTTCACCACCGGCAGCCATGCGAACCTTGCTTTTTGCGGCACATTTGGAGAATTCCTCAAGAACCATATCAGCAGCAATCTTTCCATACCAGGACTTGGTGAATGGAAGAATGATTGGGAAGTTGACCAATTCCAAGGCGGCAGTGATGTTGTAGTAATCGTCGGCAATCTTCTTGATAGCTTCGTCTGAGATGTAGAAACCAACAAATGTACGACAGGAAACGGCGCACAACAATTCTCTGAATTCGGACATGAATGGAACGGGTTTTCCTCCAGCTTCCTCGGTAACCTTGGCGAATCTTTCGTTGTATTGATTGTAGACGTCGTCTTGTCCTGGGAGATAACAATCGAGAGCTTTGCGAGTGAATAATCCATTGAGACCCTTTCGGAAATCAACGTGAGCCTTTCCGTCAAGGAAAACCCAGTTGGTCTCGCCCAACAATTTATGTGCTGAATCGACTACACATGGTTTGACGTATGCTGGGGAGTTGAAAACTTTTCTGGCCATATCACGAGTAGAAGCAATAACGACGAATCTGATCGAGATTAGTGCCTGATTTGGGAGTGGCAGATAATAGTCTTGACCTACTTGTGGAAAACAGATACGCAACTGAGGTCACCGCTTGCCCATTTTGCTTGATATTCGTGAAATTTTGGATTGACAGATTGTAAAAATGGACCGATAAAGGGGGCTTTCCATGCTGGACCGATGATTGAACCTTTTTGCCAGAGATAACTACCTTGAAAGTTGTTAGTGGGTGGTGCAATTGGTTGATTGACGCGTCGAGAAGTTTCTTACATTGATCATAAGCTACCATGAGGCAAAGAATTGTAAGTACAATCTGCCATGCGCTGACTTCTGCCAGTTTGGCTAGATAACCATTGAGTTGAGGATGCCCAATAATCTGAGCAAATTTTGCATCTGCCACAGGTGAGGCATACGTGATATTTTGTACCACGTCCGCCATGATTTGTTCGTTGTGGTATCTGTACCAAACGAGGTGGTGAAAATGGTCGCAAGTAACAATTCCACTCAAAGAAGATTGATATGCAGAACAATCTTGTAAGAAGAACAATCTGACTGTGGACTAGCAATTCTCTGGTCAGAAGATATCTGGAAGATATCTGGTACTTGAACGATAGGACAAGTTGTTGAATGAAAAGGATTAAGAAGAATTGAAGGCAGGGGAAGGAAGAGAAGGAAAGAATTTTGGGTGGGAGGATGGGATGGGAAAGTCGGGAATTATTATTAAATTATGAAGCACCCTCGCACCAAAAGCTAAGGTTACCTCAGGTTGCTACTCTACTAGGTAGGTACTAGGTAATAGTTAATTACCGTAAGGAACAATTGGGAAGTTACGGAATTTGATTAAGTAATCCACTCCAGCTACCATGGTGACCTGAATGACGACCAGACCCAATCATGTTGGATCCAATTTGATGAGTTTGGTTAGATTGGCACATTGGGACACAATCGGGTGAATAGACCGATCTGAAAAATTCATCTAACGTATTTGCTATTGGATTGTACCAGGATTAGATTTCATTAAATGGTTAATATTAAAGACCCTCGAGAGGAGAGACCTTTGCAAACAAGGGTTAATCCGCCCGGCAAGAAAGGAAAGAAAGGAAAGAAAATTCGAACATGAACATGAACATCAGTGGAGTGGAATTCGAAGAGCTAATATACTAGGGAGGAACTAGAAGGGAAAAAAGGCCATCTATGATCTATTGACTAGTGGCGCGAGATGTTGGTGGATTAATCCGGCCCATGAATAATAATAATGATACTAGAAAAGACCTAGGTATAATTGAGTGAATTTAGGAAGGATGTTGAATGAATTTAGGAAGGATGTGTATCGTAGGAAATGAGATATTCACAGTTGTCAGTAATAACCTTGGAAGTAGCAGACAATTACTCGTAGAATCTACTCAAAAAGGAGGAGCGTAGCGAATGCGCGTATTGTTCCGGTACCTAGGTAGTTGGTTACATATTCACTTTTTCTATACCGGTACTCGGTAATCTTTTATATGCATTAGTTAAAGGAGGGCAAAAAAGAGAAGTTAAAGATATTTCATCCTATCACAAAGACGTCATGATTCTTTCAATTCATTTATTCAGGTGTCTAGGTTCTCTAGGGAGGTACCTAGGTAGATAACGGAAGCAAACAATAGGGCTAGATGTTACCTAGTTCAAGGGTTATGGGTTGATTGATAGGTTGATAGGTTGATGTTCATAGGTCAAGCATTTGGATGAAGAAAGTAAAAAGTTTGTATAAAGAAAAGCATAAGCAAGCAAGCAAGCAAGCAGGTACGAAATGATTGTGGTTGGTTCTCATACTATGTGCCGGATGCTTTCTGTTGGTGCCATTGTGGTGGTGACCCTTTGCTGACCTGATTTAACCTTATTGTTTCTGAGCCCAATATCGACATCATCATATCATCCGTCCACCACCACTAGAAATTAAAGATGTACATGCTACTTCGCAGGTACCTTGTATATACGGGAGAATCCTTGTCAAATAATATAATCAGTCACTCACTCATACTTGTATTACCAACCACTTTCCATATCTTCCGAAGCTTCCATACATGATACAAAGGAGGGAGGAAGAGGATTTGCAGTAAATTTCATTCTGGAACGACATACTTGTATATTGTTAGATATGATATATTGTTCTAACCATACTACAGACTTTGATGGCTACTACAGACTTCGATGGCTACTACAGACTTTGATGGCTACTACAGACTTTGATGGCTACTACAGACTTCGATGGCCAACGCCTAGATGAAGCCACTGTTAGATTCTACATATCAAAAGCATGTCATGAATCTCCATTTGACTCAATCACGAGAGATCATCTATACTTGGATCCCCCAATCTGTACTCCATACCTAGTGAACAAAACTGGTGGCTGGTTATAAGGTACAACCAACTCAACAAACACAAGTCTTGGCATGCATGCATCCCCTATTAAGAATATATCTTCATCCCCCGACAGAATCCTCCCAAAAGCAGCACAAACAACTTCAATAAACACCAGGGCCTCCGACTCAAAACACAAAACACAAAACACAAAACACATATATCAATCGGTATCTACATACGGGAAATATCATATCACGCCAGATTCCTCATCAAACAAAATCCTCCGCGCCATCTCCAAACTCCAAACTCCACAAAAATCCACCCAAAACCTAATCTGAATCAACTTCTCAGATCGCCTCATAAATAAAACATGTGTTAGCTCAGTCCACCGAGGAGTCCAGCAATGTTGTTGAATCGAATGCTTTTGTATAGGCGTATATATTACATACTTACATAGATGCAGAACGGAATAAATATATTATAACGATAACAGTGGGGAAGTACATATCTATCTCGAGCCTGTCCTGTCCTATCTTGTCTAAAAATCTAGTCAGCAGCATTGACCAACATACATATTTTACAACCACCTCAAATTTTCAAACCTCAGTACCAGTATTTTCACTCACATCATCTCTAATTCAAACCCAAAACCCCCATTTTTATCCAACTTGAATAACCTCCAAATAGTAAAACCATCTATCTACCTATCAGGAAAAGTAGAATCTCAATCTATTAAATCCTCTTCACACAATCCATTCTCTACGCCATGATTGATTTCCAGCCCCGCCCTCAATAGCAATCGCGAGAATCAACAAATCAAGCTAGAATCTCACATGAAGGAATATAGCCGAGCTATTCCACGGAGTATTTTCCATGAAAATGGGCTTACTTCCTGGGAAGAAGAGGGGTTGAATCCTTCATCATGATTAGAAGGTGACATATTGATCACGAGTCAATTATCTCTCTAGTGGGAGATTCTAGACTTGGTATTTACTAGATGCGAGTAACCTTGGTTTACTCTCATATGTTTTGAAGTGCATTGTTAGGTGTTTGGTCATTACTTTGATTTTCTTGGGACGGGTCCTCATATGTATATTTCAGTACGAGATGTGTTTTAATAACATGTTCCTGTCTTCTCCTCTCTCTCTCCTTTTGATATTCTTACCCTTTCTGCCCTTTCTGCTTCACTTTGGCTTGTCTGTCAATTCCACGCGTCCAAACACTCGCAGAAACATCCCTATCGCATTGCTACATACGCATTCCTTCACTCACATACAATCACAGACAACAGAAGATTGATTTTCAATTCAGCTATGCCCAGATGCAATTTGTACTGATCTATATCCCGATCTAAGTTTCGATACAATGAATACAGTTCTACCTTTCTCTCTCACACCAGGAAGATTTGAGGAAAATAAAATCTACCTCTTGAATACACTTACACACACCATTATCATTACACAAAGATTAGATCTCCAATAATAAAATCAAGTATCACCTCTATCCACGTGCCTCCACTTTCTCATTCTCCTAAACGTCATCTTTCAATGAATCAAATTCATAATCTTGTAGTCAATGAAAAAACATCTTACCTCCTCTCTTCCCATTTCTTATTTCTTTCTTATGCTTTCTTCCTCTCCCTTCTCCTATTTCTTCCTTACTCTCTTCTCTCTGCTTTTCTTCTACTACTACTCTTCTTTTTCTTGTAACTCCTTCATCTTCTCAGCGGTTTCAAGAGCTTCATGTTCATTGTATGCCTTCAAGTTCTCAAGTATCTTGCAGATTTCCTGAAACAACACTCCTGCATATGGTCATTCGTATTTTCGGATCCAAGTCAAACACAAATATAATGTTTCATCCACATCTTCATATAAATCTTGTTTTCTATCTATCTCAAGAAATATGGTACGTAGGATCTAACATCCATCTTTCATCTCCCATCATTAATCCCTCCGCTTTCTTCCCTCAAACCCGCTCCACAATCTTTCTTCTAGAATTGAGAAGATCCAAAAAATTAATACAAGCATATAACAAACAACCATTCATCATCACCACACATCAAAAATTCCTTCCCATTACAAGCACACTCACACATCTACCAATCCACCATCCATCATCCATTATCCATCATCCATCATCCCAACAACCCAACAACACCCCTCTAAATTCCAAACCGCATAAACAACCCATCATTCCATTTCAAACCTCTTTCACACTTAGATTTTTAAATTCTCATTAGATAGGTACCTATCTATACAATTCTCAAAATCTCCTATCTAAAGAGTCAGAAAATCCGCATATAGAATCTATTCAAATCCAAAACATCATCTATTTTCTCATTTCTGTAACTAGAATATCGGGATATTAGTTATTTATTGATTTGAGAATGATATCTATATATTATACGTTATATATTATATATTATATATTATACATTATATGTTATATGTTATATATTATATATTATACGTTATACATTATATATTATATATTATATATTATACATTATACATTATACGTTATAGAGTATAAAAATAGATTATCAATTGATCAATTTCAGAAGAATTTTCTATATCTCATACTCTCTTTTTACTTCTATATTATTAAATATAATATCTATAAACCCAACCCAATCCAACATCCCAATCTTCAACCAAACAAACATTACATATACAATATCTAAACCCAAACTCAAATCATTTATTCATTTCTCAATCTCATAGACTCATCTCACCCCCTCGCTAAATATTCAAATATCTCATATCTCATCTCTTATATCTCATCTCTCACAGAAAGTATCTCTCTCTCTCTATATATCTTCATCATACAAAAATTCCATATATGATCCACTAGAAAAATACATAAAACTAATACTAATTCACTATATCATATTATTATTATCCATAAATACCTACTTAGATATTAATAACAAATTTTCTATATACTATAATCTTACAATCTCAGCTAGAAAGTATAGAAAGATAGAAGCGTTTTTGTTTAAATACTTCTTCTTCAGATACTTTTAAAGTTATATAATTATTTCAATATTCACTTCATGGGATCTCTTAAGTTTATTTCATATTTCATCTCGATTCT